AAAAAGATCAGTGATCAACAGTTGTATTGTATAGCTGCAAGATACACATTTGAGATTCGCTTGAGCACCTGAAGTATAGATGCCACAGGTGGCCTACTGGACTTTTGAGGTGCCATCATCCACTGTGAGAAAGACACGAGTGGCAAACATTACATCCCAGGTCAAACCAAAAAAAGCTAAATATTGCTAAATACTGAAGATTACACACTGTATTTGAATTGAGGTCCTCCCAGTAGGAGCTGAGGCTGCAATCCACAATGGCACTATCAAGACTCTAGAGGAAAGAAAAAAAAAACCCCAATGCAAAAATGCTGGTTAATACTTAATTTAATTTCCCACCAACTTTCTGAAATAAACATCAGCCACGTAAACCTTTAGGCTCGGTCGACCTTCCACTGTCTTCACCACAGCTGGGTCATCAAACAGCTGCCCTCGACCTGCTCTCCCTCTCTGAGGCCGGCCTGTTGGAGTGTGGGGCCAAACGCGAGATCCTGGTCTGGAGGGTGAATGGGAACTGTGAGGGGAAGGTGATATGGGAGGTGGAGGTGGTGAAGACTGTGGTGTTGGGGAGTTGTCGCTACACAGCAGCAGGAGATCCATAGGGTCAGCAGCTGGATTATCACCACTTGTGGCCTCATCTGGGTTAATTTTTTTTGCATAGTGTGTGCATAAAGTGTTAGTTTAAAAAGAAAAGAAAAAGAAAAGCTGCAGTGAAAATGCTTCAAGGATTAACACCACATTTTCATCTCCCATAACCATCCCAGAAAAAAAAAAGAAATACACAGGAAACTTTCTGCTTCAGCCATTTAGCTCAATTTTAAATGCATTATATATCGGATTCCAATCCAGTCACAGTTTGTGCATGACATCCGATTCCAGTAATCTCATGGATTTTATAATATAATACCTAAGCCAAATGTCTCCTCATTGTAGAGATCAATCTCCTCATCCTCTTCAGCCATTTCCTGCAGTAGTTCGCATTCATCATCCTCCTCTTCACCTTTGTCGCTCCACTGATCCCCATTCTCTGGCCAACTGGCATCAGGAACAGATTCCCCGGTTTTCTCCTGATAACACAGAGCAAAATAAAATGTATAACAAAACAAAAAAAGTCAGTGTTAACACAGCATGACCTACAATTCTCCAGAAACAGCTTATAAAATATACATTAAACTGTTTAACATACAAATATTAAAACATTTAAAAATCAGTATTAAAATAATCCACATTTATCTTATTACATCCATTTAGTTATTGTGCATATAATCTTGGTAGTATTTAATGATTACATTTGTTTTTGTAATGTAGAAATAAAACTTAAGTACAAATAGAACATTTAAGTAAACTGCACGAAGGCTACAGATTACAATTATAATGATAACAAAGAGTAAAAACAAATTGTAACCGGTCACATACAAACATACACTCTTATAAATACATACATTTTTACCTGAAACGTCACATGAACACCTTATTTTTGTCAGCTATAAAATTGAAAACCAATACCAATAACAAAGAAAAAAAAAATCAGTTAACTACATTTAACAAACTACACTCTTGAAGGATGTATTAAACCTAGTTAACTTCATCAACAAATTAGTCACAACATTAACACGTTATTAAATATAAGTTGTATATGTTAATGTTATTTAATGGATCTGAGCAAACATGAACTATAGCACCACATTTTTAATCAAATAACGATAACAAAGATTAATACTGTAACAGGTGCATTGTGCTTTTTTTAGTTATTGTTAGTAAACGCATTAACCAACGCTAACTAAGAGGACCTTATTGTAAAGTTCTACCGAAAATATTAAGTGTGAATGCGTAAACGTATAACAGGCAATATGCGTGGCATTGGCTTTCCTTACCAAAAACGTGCACCCCATTCACAGTGTTATTGCTTCGTGTACTTACGGGATGTTCAGAATCACCCATTTAAATATGTTAGTATTTTGTGAAATATTTCGTTAAGCTTCCACTCTCGCTGAACGCCTACAACTACCAGTTCAGCTCCACGTGCTTATCAGTGTTTGGAAATGAACACACCTGCGTGTTTGGAGGCGGTGCTTTAGGCAAGGGCGTAACTACCAAAGTTGCCAAATCCATGCTTATTTTGGGTTTATTTCCAAGTGTAATATAGTTGTGTATGGTTATTTTGGCCATTGAATAACATGGGGTATTTTGTGAATGGGAGTATAATGGTTTACGGAATAAGTTCAATGTTTTGGCGGAACAAAATCCCTTTTAAAGGCGTAGGCCTACCCTATGCAGACTTGCATGCTGTGCATATTCCCCACCATCCAAAAGGGGTCGCTTATTTTTGGCTTATTTTCCTGACCGGGTTGTTTATTTTGGTCTTGTTTTTTCAGAGCATATTCGCTTTGTAAAAAAAAAAACTCAAAACATGGCACGCAGCAACTGCATTATGGGACACGTCTTCCCTAATAACTAGATGGCCTCCCATTGTAGCTATTTGACAAGATATACTATATGAGACCCCTGAACTCATTTACAAAAATAACAAATCAGGGAGGCCAAGTAAAATTTTTGTGGGTTCCAGCGCATAGGAGTGGAGGTGAATGAAAAAGTAGATAAGGTGGCAAGGGGGGGGGGGGTAAACCAAATGTGGTAAGAATTGTGGGATAAAGGGATCTATACCAAATTCAAAAGAGTTTTAAAGCAAAGAGGGTAGGAATTGGGAACAGGAGAGAGGGAATTGTGTTGACTAGGTTAAGGCTGGGGCATTGTGCTCTAAATAAAACTTTAAAAATGTTAGGGAAACACCAGTCTGGTCTGTGTGAAGAATGTCAGGAAGAAGAATCAGTGGAGCATGTAATTCTACATAGGCTACGTTTACATGCAACCAAATACTCCATTTGTAATCGGATTGACGGCTCAATCGGACTGAAAAACCTTCATGTTAACACCTTAATCGATCCTATTGAGCTCGATCGGAATGAAATTTCGATCGGAGATTGAAGGGGGTGGTTTATTCCTTTTCTAATACGATTGAGAGTGCATGTAAACACTCGATCGGATTGAACCCTGAAACTGAAAGAACTGCGCATGTGCAATGACGCAGAAATAGCGTATTGTCGTAGGCTATGAAGCGCAGAACGAGCGGTTCTTCCTCTTGAATAAAGTGTTGTATAAATGCGTGTCCTGTCACTATAAAACGCTCCTTTCACTCGGCAGCTGTGAAGTGGAGCAGGACAACCTCCCACCAGTCCTTGTTTTGGATTTTGGGTGCGGGGAGGGGCATTTTTACTGTGTGATAAATATGAGCAGCACAGCACAGCATATTTATCCATCAGTTAATAAATATTAATTCTGCTGTTAAAAATAAATAAATAAACCGTGTAGGAGAGTGGTTATTATGTGCAAACAGTGAGAAACTCTATATTTGTGCAGTGTGCGCATGTAAAAAAATAAATAATAATCCGATTTGTGACATAAACACGCACATCAACCCCATCACTTTCTTTAGCGTTCATGTAAACACTAAACACGGAATTAATTCGGTCCAATTGAACCAAAATTGTGCATGTAAACGTAGCCAGTGTAGGAAATACAAGACAATGGAAAATACTCTTAAAGAAATAGGGGTGCAGAAACTTACAATCTAACAATTTTTGGTTCCCAGAATGTTCCCGGACTGTTAGTTTTTGGTTCCCAGAATGTTATTTTTTATGTTTTGTTTTTGGTTAGCCAGGAAAGTTCCCATAACGTTAATCTAACCTAAAAAGAACGTTCCCCTAACGTTAGTAAGTCCAATTGAACCAAAATTGTGCATGTAAACGTAGCCAGTGTAGGAAATACAAGACAATGGAAAATACTCTTAAAGAAATAGGGGTGCAGAAACTTACTTTAAACCCAGCTAACAATTTTTGGTTCCCAGAATGTTCCCGGACTGTTAGTTTTTGGTTCCCAGAATGTTCTTTTTTATGTTTTGTTTTTGGTTAGCCAGGAAAGTTCCCATAACGTTAATCTAACCTAAAAAGAACGTTCCCCTAACGTTAGTATTTGGTTCCCAAAAAAGTAACCAAACGGGAACCAAAAACTAACGTTAGGGGAACGTTCTGTGTTTGCTGGGAAGGGGTCATGATGTGATTTCACTTTTTCCTTCCTCTTTGGAGTGTTACAAGCTCTTGGTGCATAAAGAAGATCTGTAAAGTTGCAAAGACTAAAGTCTCAAATCCAAAGAGATATTCTTTATAAAAGTTAAGAATCAACCACGCCTACCTAAAACGGCTCGTTCTAACACGTCCCCATGTCTATGTCACGATGTGGGAAGATTTGCATAAAGCCGCTCAAATGTTAACGCAAAGAAAGAAGGCGTAACTTTTATTCTCGCTGTAGTATTGTTACTGCCGCCATGTCGCCACTGTGTGTTTCGTTGTGAAAGCGAAACTACTTTGTTTGGCCTTCCAAAAGAGGACGATATCTGCTTCGTCATGCCTAGCTGATCCGTACTGGTCACTTAGGAAATACATCAACTTCGCGCTGTTGATCGCCGGATTGGCTTTCAGCGTGGACGAAGCGGAGTCCAGCCCGGGGTCGTCTCATGTGATTGCCGCAAGCCCGCCGGCCGCGCCGTTCTCAACTCCGCCGGCCGTTCCTCACTCTAGCCCGCCGGCCTCCGCTCACTCAAGCCCGCCGTGTGTTTCGTTGTGAAAGCGAAACTACTTTGTTTGGCCTTCCAAAAGAGGACACGACTAGAAATCAGTGGTTAAGTTGTCCAAATAATGTTCTTTTTAGCAACATCATATGACCCCTTTAAAATCAACCCTAAGTATGACGGAAAGAGCTCAGGTTAGAGAACTGTTAGATTTTTTTAAGGGATACTGGGTTTTATTATAGGATATGATGGATAGTTTTTTTGTATAAAACAACTCCAACCCTATTGGTCCACGTGGCCCGTGATGTCATAGACGGGTACCCAAAAGTATAAAAGGGCACCTGCTGAATATGTCACCAACTTTTGTAGTCTTCAGAGCCGTCTGTCTGTCAACATGTGTGAAACATCATCCTGGTGAGTCGAGCAGTGCTTTTGTGGGTGGAGCTATATTCAGCTCAGCCATGCCTCTCTAATATGCATGTTATTGTGAGTGGAGAGCCTCGCTGGGCATGGATATGCTGAATGCTCTGTTGAAAGAATCTGCAAGCTTTCTCTCCCAGGGTGTTTCAGTAATCTAGAGTGGTTACGGGGAATGTTCCTTCCTGTGTTTAGCCGGATGATAAGTGAACAGTCTCTGCTCAGAGTGTAGCCGTCCATGGATGATTATGCTCCAGCTTAGGCTTGCTTTGCTTTGGAATATAGCAGTCTGAGGGCAGCTATGTTCTAGCCTGGTGTCTATGACTGGGTTGGGTTCCCCTTGGGCACAAGCTCTCTCAGGTGAGCGCTGAAGTCTTTGTTTAGGAATCTGCTATTTGAGGATAGCTGTGTTACAGCTCGGAGACTGCTCCCCCTTGTGGGGTCTTTTAGTAGTGGCCTCCTTGAGCCCTTGCCAAGAATGCACTGTCTCCCCTGTTTCGCGTTTTAAGAAGATGGCCCACTTCATGGTCTGGGCAGACTTCAGCCTTATCTGAGGGAAATGCTATCTGAGGGTAGCTGTGTCCGTCCACCTAGTGTTATAGCCGTGGCTTGCATCAGGCTTTGATCTGGACTAATGAGTTTTTTATGTGTTTACTCTTTAGTGAATCATTTACTATGGTCTGGATCTTCCTATTGGGAGCCTCTGGTCATTATATCAGTGCTCGCTAGCCTACTGTGGGACTAACACTGATTGGGAACCTCTTTAGTATAGCCACCTAAGGGTGGTTATATTTCGGCCATTGTTATGGCAGGACTGGCTTGCTTGAATACAGCTACCTGAAGCTAGCTGTGTGTTAACTTGCCCTTTCCTGGAAGCACAGCTATCTGAGGATAGATATGTGCTAGCTCGGTGAATGCTCCCCTGCTTGGGGTTTTTAAGTAGCGGTCTCCTTGAGCCCTGCCTAGATAGTGCTGTCTCCCCTTATAGGGTTTATAATTAGACAGCCCACTCTTCTGGTCTGGGTAGTCTCAGTCGGTCCCCTTCTGGTAGCCTTCCTAGGTACATGACTATCTGAGGATATCTACGTGCTAGCTTAGGGACTGCTCCCCTTCTTAGGGTATTTAAGTAGTGGTCTCCCTGAGCCCTTGCCTAGTTAGTGCTATCTCCCCGGCTAGGGTCGTAAGTAGATAGCCCACTCTCTGTGGTCTGGGCAGCTTCAGGAAGGTTTACCTGGTTTTTAGTTTTGGTCCCGTCGGGTGGCCCCTTCCTAGGTATATATTTATCTGAGGATGGCTGTGTGACTGCTCCCCTTCTTAGGGTTTTTAAGTAGCGGTCTCCCTGAGCCCTGGCTTAGACAGTGCTATCTCCCCTGCGGGGTTTTAAGTAGATAGCCATCCCCTTGGTCTGGGCAGCTCTTTAGGAAGGTCCTTTGTCATAAGACCCTTTGGATATAGCTATCTGCGGACTTTGAGACTTCCAGCCTCTCAGTGGTCTTAGGTATTCTGGCTACTATTGCTCACATAGCATAGTTATCTGAGAATGTTGTGTTCCTAGCTTGGTTAGGGTGTCTCTCCTTATCTGGAATCGGGCTCCCTCTTCTACCAAGTTATGTGAGCGGCCCGAGGCCTCAGTGGCTTGGCCCCTTTCTGAGGAAAGGTTTGGTGTATGTCTGTCACCTCCTTGGTGCTTTCTCACCAGGTGGACAGGCATGCACCTCGGCATGGTGTGATTGGATTTCGTTCCCCAAAGTGTCCACCAGGACGCAGTGTTGAGTTCCCTAGAAGGGGAACGTCTCGGGTTACCCATGTAACCATGGTTCCCCGAGAGGGAACGAGATGCTGCGTCCCCTTGCCATGCCTTCAGCCTGCCTGTTTATGTCTACTCAGACACCTGAGTTGGTGACGTATTCAGCAGGTGCCCATTTATACTTTTGGGTACCCACCTATGACGTCACAGGCCACGTGGACCAATAGGATTGAAGTTGTTTTATACATGCTTCAGGCACCGGTCATACTTACTGCATTCCCCAAAGTATCCACCAGGACGCAGGGTCTCGTTCCCTCTCGGGGAACCATAGTTACATGGGTAACCCGAGACGATATTCTTGATTTGCTCTACTGCACACCACGGCTCATGTTAGGATGACAAAAAGGATAAAAAGTTGCATTTTAGGGTGGTCTGCTTCAAGTTTAACAACGTTTGCAAATGTTAAAATGACTGAGAAAACCAATCAAATAAAAAAAGTCAGGCTTTACTACAAAAACCGCACAAATTTCAGCACGAAACTTCATGTTTACCAGGATACAAGCTGTACGCGCAATAAAGAGCTGCTTAGTCCTTGACAAATGATAAAAGACATTTGCTAGTTTTGTTTTCTTCAACGGATTATGTGTAAATATCCACACCATCCAGTGCTCTTTTTGTTTTCTGTGTTATAAAATATTCCACTGCAAACTTTGCAGTGCGTGAGTGAACTGTCCGAATGAACCAAATCGGACAATTTAGACCCCCATGCAAACCCTTCTGACTGATTAGATCAAAAGAATGATTAATTCGCGAATCAGGTTATCGTTTTGATTTTGAACAGCTAAAAGAAAACAGGACTTTATTACTGAAATTTGCAGATAAAATGATTCTCAGGTCGGTCATATTGACTGATAAGTATATAGCAGTAATATTTTACTGGGACACGCGTGATATTTAACTTTGGCTTATTCCCCAGAAAAGGGGTCTAGCCAAAGACTATAGAAATGGTCTAGCTCACCCAGTCACAACTCATTTGTAGATATCATAAACAGTGCTGGGCTCGTTACTCAAATATGTAATTTGTAGTGATTGATAGTGACTTTTAGTAATTGTTGTGTAACCTCATTAATCATCATTTGTAGTTTAAAGCTAGCTATAATTTCTTTGTTACCCATATATGATTAGGCAATATTTCATGATGTATTTTGTAGCGTCTGGACCAATCAAACACAGAATATATATTTTGTTAGCTAGATTTAACAAATACTCTGTAACACCCCTCAGTTAACAAGCCATATGAGGACCTATGGACCCTTCCCCCCGAAATGCGTAACACCCCAGGAAGCCGAACAGGCCCCTGGTTCCATGGCAACCAACCATATCACTGGGTTTATTACCCAGTGGAATGTGAGCAGAGAGACTCTCACTGCATTTTCCATAGCAAGAGGCAAAATGCACAGTAGAAATGGACTTTTCTACTAATTAATTCATAGGAAAACTTTTCTTTGAATGAACAGTGTATCCTTCAGGTCATTGTGTATATTATTGTCATTGTGTATTTTGTCTTTGAGATTGTACACTGTTTTATGCAGGCTTATGATCGAAACACTCACTCCTGTCAGCTTACATATATATAGCAGAACACAGATCCATGCCATCTACATTGCTAAAACCAGAATCACCCTAAACGCTTAAGCAAGAGGAAAGGAGACAAAGAGAAGATAGGCTACTAAATGAATAAATGTAAAAAAATAATAGGAATAATAGATGAGATACAAAGTGTCCACTGTGCCACAGTTGTTGCACCTTTGGAGTATAATAGTATGTTTTTGGTGATCCAGTGGAGTAGTGGGCAAAACACCAAATGATAGGCCTACTTCATCATCTGTTCCAACTAATAAATACCTTTCAATTCCTGCAATTTGTTTCATGACAAAGAATATTTTTCCAACTCCAAGCTGAGGTTCTCAGAAAAAATATGAATAAACACTGGAACGATAGATATTCTTTAAACATTTCTAATCACACTACTTTTGTCTGCTAGTTTTAACGACGTGCATAAGAAAGAGTGAACTAATTGGCTCTAACTGGCCTGATTAGCCAAGCTCTCCCTAAAAATAGCTAGCCTACATAAAACCAGTCCAGCACTAATAAGAAAGAACACATGTGAAAAAATGAATTAGTTTGTAAAAGGTGTCACTGAGTTGCATTTACACTTTTTTGACCAGCAGAGCGCGGTGTTTACAGTACTGGTGTCTCCAGCGCTCAAAAACAGTGAATTGCTTTAAAAGATAGTGAATTTTATTGCTTCTGAGTAGGGATGGGCGATACCCCATATTTTGTTTTCGATACGATACCGATATTTTTCAAGGCAGTATCGTCGATATCGATTCGATACTTCTGCACTAAACTTTTAAATTATGAAATGTATTCAATTATTAAATTACTAAGAGTAAAATGGGTAATGAAAACCACTTAACTTTGTTTAAAATGCATTTTAACCCGTTTAATCCCAAATTTTTCCCAGACATGAAAATATCCAAATGATGCGTCATTAGTAACCCTTTGAAACCAATTTTTTTTTTTTTGGAAAAGTGTGTGAAAAATTTTATTTTATGGTCAGTCACAATTGTAACCGGTGGGATAATGTGTATACTGAATTAACATTTCTGCAGTCATAAAACTTTTTATATATCTTAGCGCAGCTATTTTAAACTGTTTGATCACATTCTAGGGTTACTATTATGCATCAAAAATTTTTTTGGAAAAGTGTGTGTGAAAAATTTTATTTTATGGTCAGTCACAATTGTAACCGGTGGGATAATGTGTATACTGAATTAACATTTCTGCAGTCATAAAACTTTTTATATATCTTAGCGCAGCTATTTTAAACTGTTTGATCACATTCTAGGGTTACTATTATGCATCAAAAACCCTTATACAACATTGATAGGAATACTGAGATCAAATACAAAAAAATACAGCCATCAACGTATTTCAAAATTTTTACTTTTTTTGTAATATATCATCACATTTTTATATTAGTGCTACCAGTATTACAACATTAATATTCTAACTTATTTGTAACATTTGAACTTTGGATTTAGTGCAATATTTTGCACTGCCATTACGAACTGCCAGTGAATGGCTGTTGCATGCATAAAATGCAACCTTTTTATTCTGACAGTGTATGATTTCTATTATCCTTACAGAATAGAACATGATCAATATGATCTTTCAGCGTTCAATT